CTACATATTAAATGATTCTAGTAAAATTATTATAATAATTTAATATTTTTTCCTATTCACATTCTCATTTTTATCAGTATTGTATTTCTAAGTATTTTTGTGGAGAAAAAAATAATTTTTTGGTCCACATCATCAATTTTTTTCCACATGGCATTTCCATGTCTTTTTTTGGACTCTATTGATTAACGTGTAATTACATGTCAACATTGAAAAATAGAATAAAATATTTAACGGATTATAACGACACATGGTGACTTAATTGATGGAAGAATTAAAAAAAGATCGAATTTTAAACTTTAAGAATTAAAAAGAGAATTTTTTCAGTATAGAGACTAAAAAAATCTTTTTTCAATGGTAGAGGGAGCAAAAAGGGTACTTAACCTAACTAAAATAACTTGATTTAAGGTCAACAGTTAAGGCTTCGAACTTCTGCAATCCCAATTTACCAAAAAAAAAAAAAAAAAGGAAACTGTTTGATATTGAGGATTAATGTAACAGGAATGAATCTTCCTTGCTAAACAGCAAAACAGCTTCCCTGCAAGTGAGGTGATTTTATCCCCCCCAATTTTTGTTATCCAAATAAGAAATTTTATCACCGCTCCCTCCTAGCCTCCCAAACCAAACAAGTTGTTAGAATTTTGTTAGAATTTTTGAACTTGTCTTGGTAGTATTTTTAATATTTAAAATTGTTTTAACTTTTAAGAATTTATCCTTTTATGTAAAAAGTAAAAACAATCCTTAAAATTTACCAAACTTAAAAAATAATAATAAAAGTAATAATAAAACCTCAAAAAGACTAAAAAAACACGATGAGAAAAGTACTGCGAAAGACAACGAATACAAAGAAGGGAAACCAGCAGACTAATTGAAGAACTCTAATACAATTTGAAGTTTAAAAACGAGAAACCACAGGATTATATTTTTACGAACGATAATGAAGTAGTAATCATTTGACAGCAGGAAAACTAAGGTAACCAAATTGGACACCAATAGAGAAATCTAAAATTGAAGATCTAGATA